TATTTGTTTCTTGATATTTTTAATGTTTTAATTTGTAAAGCATATTATTATAATGCTCCACCTTCTCTTCTCATGCTCTGTTAGAGTGCAGAGTCATGTTTGTTTAGGGATGATGTGACTAAAACATGACTTTGTTTATTTTTATAAATTCTTGTGTTGATTAAAAGATACCACGTGTTAAATTCGAATCAATATCCTCAGCTGTTAAAGTGAAAGTTCATTCTTCAGTCCAGTTTTTGCAGATCAGTTTTAATGTCCGTGCAGCATTAAGTCAATTCACAGTGATTATAATGAGAAATAAAAGTAGCTGCATTCAGCTGTTTCTTAGTGTAACATCATCAGATTCTAAATCTTGAATGTTTCCCTTCGCTCCATCAGCCGCCTCCTGTTTCCCATCATCCTACATTTCTTAATTGATCCAGTTCACTGACACAAATGGCTTGATGAAGTTTATTGTTCTTTTTCAGCAGTTATCCATGCACCACGTCTACAATGATATATTCCACCAAGCTGCAGTGTCACAGGGTTTAAGTTATATTAGGATAAACATTATGTCCTTTATTTTTTAAGTTGTATACAAGGGGCCCCAGGAGACCCTCTTACAATGAGTTTCAGCAGAATCCGGAGGAGTGGACGTAGAGACGCCGACGGGGGGGGGGGGTGGCGACGGGAGCGTGAAAACATAAACAACGAGCTGAGCGTTGCAGCAGTGACGAGGAAACTCTTTTTTTCTTCAATGGCGCAGGAGCTGAGACCCTCGTCCACCTCAAGAAGCTTTTTATGGAAACTCCCCTTTCGCTTGGATCCAGCTTTGGTTTCTCGCCCCTGAAAAAAGTCTCGCTCAAGTACAGTTGATCATTCTTTCACCATCACCCTCTTTCTTTACACATTCACAGACAGGATTATGAATCGAACGAGTACGATGTAAATTCAAAAAAAGGAGGTGAGGACACAGAGGTTAAGTCCTCTGTATTTTTGTGGGAAGGGGTTTACATTCTACATTTACACACATACTGCACATGTTGCATTTTTAAGGCTGATTCTAATATTCAGAGACGGTTTCAGGCCAAATAAACTCAATCGAGGACATTTAAAACTTGAGGAATTTTTTTTTTGCACTAGACTGAAATGAAGGAAAATCAAATCCACAAAGAAACAAATGATCAGCTGAATAAATAGAATGTGACTTAAATACTCTGAAAACTGCAGAGTTTGGTCGGTGGTTGGTGTGAGTTTTGGGGGGAATGTAGACTTATTACCCAAGTATTTCTAAAATCCTGGTTACGGCCCTGATCGTCCACACGTCTGGGGCCCCTGGGGGCCTCCGCCTGGAATCCAACCTTCCACTCACATGATTGTGTCTCCAGTTTCTGGATCTTTTCCTAAAACAGTGAAAAGTGCACATGCTGGACGAGACAGATCCTGAGGGTGAAGCACAGAGGACGAGTGTTCGAGGCGAAGATGCTGACTGCGCTGAGGTTTAAGGCCTCGGAGGTGACGAGCTGAGCGCGGACGCTGCTTTAACACCAGTCTATTGTGAATTGTGAGGTATATTTTAGTTTGGGGGATGAGTGGAGGTGGAGGTGTACTTGTCTTGCGAGCAGTGATACACACAACTACTGGTAAGTGCACACTATAAAACGCAGCTTGCATGGTTACAGTCAGTGCCAGACGAACACACAACACACTGTGTCAATATTTTCCTGATCTGCAAATAAAAATACGGGACATTATTTTCCCTCCTCCCTCCTCGTCTTCTTCATATCGTTGCCGTGACTCGTCCACAAAACGTCCATCAGTTAAGTGACGAGCAGCAGAGAAACCGAAGCTACAGGCTCTACATGTTACAGGGCGACAGCAGGGTTACAATATCAGCTCTCCGTGGTTTTCTCCAGCATCGGGGGGACGGGGAGTCTACAGAGGACAGACCGGGTTTCATAGAAGCAGGAGTCGCTGTCGGCAGAGGAGCAGGTGAGACAAACACACGGGATCCATCAGAAACACTGACGAGGAGGAGGCACTCCCACACACAGCTACAACCACAGCTCCACTAACTAGTCCTCACTGAAGATGCTACACAGGATTTAAACAACAGCGTCTGTTTTACAGCTCCAGATGAGCAGAGCCGCTCCCTGTTCCTACGATGACGGACTCCACCACCCACACACATATATTTACAGAGTTTTTTTTTTACAAAAGCCGGGAGATTAAAGCAGATGATACTCGAGTGATGGTTAGAGGCAACGCATCTGGGCAATATTGGCTTTAACTGGGACGGGTGTGGAGGAGGTGTCCTGTCCACACTCAGAGGACAGAACGGAACTAAAAGCTCGTCCAGAGATCCAAATCCAACGGCAGGAACGTTTGTGAGACACCTTACATGTAAAAACATGTTCGATCTGTTCACGAAAACAGGGTGAATGTGTGAAGACTTCACAAGTTACGCTTCCAAATTTTATGAAACGAACAAAGTATTAGTTTTAGATAAATTATAGCAATAATCATTTCCTAAAATTCACCTTTTCAAACGGACTTCTGCTTCTTCTTGGTCGCACAGTCATAAATAAACTTCACATCACCGGCTTGATTCAGTGGAACTCTGTCGTGTTTCTAAGAGTCAAACTTGCCCATTTGCACAGCGTGAACATGTGGCTGAAAGCTGAGCTGCAATGATTGAGTGTGGTTTGATAATACAGATGAGAAGTCAGCTGCGGTTCCTTGTCATGTGATGATTGTTGTAGTTTCAGACGGAGGTGACGATCTCTTGGTTTGTTCTGGCTCCTGTCTGCTGCTGAAAAAGACCCTGAGAGAGAAGAAGAGGACAAAACACCAGGATGAGAAAACTGTCTTTGCCTCTAAAACAGCTGGAATGCGTCTCTCACACCCGTCGTTGTCTTTACCCGACTACTGGATGTCCAGTTTTCTCGGGCCGATGCTGTGGATGAGCTGGGAGGATTCAGAGGCGGCGCTGTACGCTTGAATCAGCAGGTTCTTGTTGAGGTCTCCGACCCCGCTGCCAGCCTGCAGCTTTGGGTAGGGGGGCGTTTCGCCACCGTGTCCCTGCGCTCGCCCTTGGGCGTCCAGGTCCATCAGGTGCTCCAGGGGGCAGCCGTCTGTCCCCTCGGTGACGGGTGAGAACTCCTGAGCGCTCGCCTGCTCGTCCCTGGACACGGGGCTGATGGAGACAGATGGAGAACTTAAAGAAAGATGATGACAGAGACACAATATTTCATTTATTAGCACTTTTCCAAACAGAGCCGCAGTGATGAAGCAATATTGAGCCACAAAATGAGATGTGGGAGGCATCTGTTTTTGAACCAGGAGGAAAAGTCGAATAGAAAGTTAAACATGAAACTTTTCAGTTGTAATGATCTGCTGTTATTTGTCAAATCTACTTATTTACTTTACATCTTATGTAAATCAAAAATTTGGATGATTGATTGATTGATTGGGCAAAAAATATTATTTTATGAAATTGTAATTTCTACTATTTGTTTTACAATTTTCTATCTTTTCTTGGACCAAACAATTAATTAACTGTTCAATTCATTATTAAGTTTTGAAATTGCACTCCGTGTATTTTCTCTTTTTCTCTTTTTATAGCACTTCGTAAACCTGCTTTTTGAAAAGTGCGACAGAAATAAAGTTTTAATATTCATCACTGTGTTAGTAAAACGTTTTGACTGGTTTGTGGAGCGTCTCCTCAGTGCAGACAAACTGAGATGAGGTAGAAACATACGAGCACCACGACAACGTAAACACGCGGAGTAAAGTCTCGTGGAGTCAAACACACAGATCCTACCTGACGTCCATTGACTGGACTCCGTCAGACAACTCGTCCACAAAGCTCTTATTCTCCAGGGGCCCCAGCGTGATGACGGGGGCCTCGGCCGGAGTCGGGGCGTCCTCCTCCAGAGCGGCTGCAGCCTCGGCTCTCATGTCGCATCCTGCAAAAACATTTAAACGACTTTAAAGTTGAAGAAATTAGAGCTACAACACTCTGACACAACCTGAACTACAACGGCCCTCAGAGAACATCAGCATCAGACCCTGCAGTAATCTTGTTGTTGCAGTTACAGGCAACAAGCATCAGGTGGCGCTGTCCTCCTGCACATGTAACACTGCTGAGTCACACTGCAGCTGAGACTGATCTCTTTCCAGTTCACATAAAATTGATTATGTTGGAGAAAAAAAGAACAGAGGATGTAAAAGATATTGAACACCAAGAAAAATAAAACGCGGAGGAGACGACAAAACGTCAAGAAACGAGGTTGAACATTCACCTGAGGAGCCGGAGGGAGGCTCCACCTCACTCTTCCTTGTTCTCTTCATTATTTCCTCGATTCTCTGTAAAACACGTGAAACACAATAAAAGTAAATCAAAACAAATTGACATTTGGCTCTTGGTCAAATCAAATGATTTTCAGCAGATGAAGATTATTTAGTTTTCATTCAATTGTAGATTTTCATATTTTAATATAATTCTGAACAGACGATATCTTCAGTTGAGTTTTTTTCCTCTGTGCGGTACCTTCTTCCTCTGCAGGCGCTCCTGCTCCTCCTGGATGTGCAGCAGCTCTCGCTCCTGTCGCTTCCTCTCGGCCTCTTTCTGGGCTCGCAGGAACGCCTCCTCCCTCTGGAATAAAAAACATCCAGGAACACGTTTCTGTAGCTGTTGTCAGTTCAACTTGTGTTTTAATATAACGTAGATTACAATTTTAGCAGCAGGTTTGTCAGTAGAATGTCCGTAGAGCTCATACCTCACCTAATAACAGTCCCATAATGAAACTACAACTAAATCAGCTTGTCTCTAAAAATATAAAACGGTGGTTTCTGGACTCTCGCTCCTGACAGACGACAGAGAATCTTATTTTTGACAGTGTGCGCTGACCTCTCTGTCCAGCTGATCCTGCATGTCCTTCCATCTCTGCTCCTTCTGTCGTCTCTCCTCCTCCTCCTTGCTCCTCCTCTCCTCCTCCCTCCTCACTCTCTCCTCCTCGGCCTGACGCACCGCTCTCTCCTGTTGCTCCCTGGCCTCCTGCTGCCTCCTCTGCTCCTCCTCCGCCCGCAGCCTGAAGTAACACACGACAAAATCCTCTGTGACAGTTGAATCGGAGCCACAAATCTATTTTCTGCTCATATTCTCTGAAACTGTTTTCTGGTTATTGAACAGGAGGATTTTTAGAAAATAAACGAGTTTGTGTTGGAAATGGAGCTGAAACCTGAATCCAGACTGAGAGCAGCAACACTCCAGAGGATGTTTTGGACATGATTGATTCATGTGATGAACAATAATGGGGCAAAGGCTCTAATCAATATTTATTTATTCATTTGTCGTTATTTATCAACAAAAAACAACCTGAACTCAATTGTAAATCAATAAAAAAGCATAAGAGAATGTTATAAAACATATATTCTAACATCAAAACAAAACAGAGATATTATCCTGTGACACAACAAACAAACTTCATTCTATCACGCACCTCTCGTCCTCCTGCCGTTGTCTCTCCTCCTGCTCCTTCTGTATTCGGGCCAGACGTCGTCTCTCTGCCAGCAGCCTGGACGCCTCCTCAGCGTCTGTCGTCCCACCGACACTCCGGCCCGTGGGTGTACCTGGAGACTCTGGACATGAACAGAAAGATGGCTGAGTCGGGAGGTGGAGCAGAAACCAAAAGAAGAGTGTTTCGCCCTGTGGCGTTACCTGCGTTCAGTTCTCTGCTGGTGGACTTGGGGATCCTCTTCTCGCAGGTTTCAGATTTGGTTGATTTCCTCTCCAGGGTGCTGTGACCTTTGACCTCAGAGTGACCCCTGTCGTCAGTGCCGGGGGTGCTGGCTCTCTGTCTGAGCGGAGAGGGCGGGTACTGCCCAGGAGAGCAGGGCGACTGAGCGCGGCTCCTGTTCGATCTCACCCTGAAAACACACACCACCACATCAGGTCATCGAGTGCGTGCGTGCGTGCGTGCGTGCGTGTGTGTGTGTGTGTGTGTGTGTGTGTGTGTGTGTGTGTGTGTGTGTTTCATACCGTTTTGGTGTAGCCGGGCCTTTACTGTTGGCCCTGAAGGAAGCACTGCGGACCGGTGTGTTCGGCGTGTCCCCCTGCAAACCAGATTCAATTAATATCAGTAATAATCCTTTCACAGTTAATATTCACAACATATGAGATTATCTATTTTATTATCTTTTATAATTCAACCACAGTTTAATTTATTTTACTTTATTTTACATATTACATTTCTACATCAGTGGATCAATATACAGGCGATGCGTGCATATTTGTGTGTGTGTGTGTGTGTGTGTGTGTGTGTTGCCTCACCGTGGGTGTTTTGGCTTTGGACGTGTCTTCAGGATATCCAGCGACGCTCCTGCGATTGGAGGAACTTCTGTACGGTCTGTGGTTGTTGGGGGAAGCTGTTCGATGGGACACAAAAGACACTGATGGATCACAGACCGACACACAAACACAGACCGACACACAAACACAGACCGACACACAAACACAGACCGACACACAAACAGAAACACTCGTGAGAAAAGAAGAAAAAAATCCTCAACCCAAAGTTTTCCTATTTAAATGAAAAGCTCTCAGTCTTAAAAACTGAATATGTCGTTAATATTTTATTATCTATCATAAATGACCATGTTTTAACGAGTGAGGATGAAATAACTTTACACCAAATGGAACCAGCTCCTCCTCTGCAGTAGTTTTCACTGAAACTTGCTCATATTCAGGTTGATCATTATAATTTGTGTTTTACTCTAATGTCAGAAAACATCACTGTCATCATTTCTAGATATTTATATATTATATATTCTATACAAACACTCTGCAGGAGATTTAAGATCAGATCCACCTGCACCTTCTTACTTTTCGACTGTAGTTCAGTGCCTGACTGTTCTCACCTCTCTCTGGTGAGTGGAGCGCGGCTGAGGAGTTGGAGAGCTGTTTGTTCATTGGTGGTTCCATCGTTGGTGGACACAGGAAATCAACAACTGATGAAAAAACAAACAAAAAGAACACATCACAAATCCTCACCACAGACACACACTGCACATGAGTGTACATCACACAACGAGCCGGCCGATCGATGAGCCGTGCAGGCCACTGGATGGATTAACCTTGGTGATGTCAGACAGAGATGAAGCAGCAGAGAGCGTCTGTAACCTGCTTCATCGTGAAATGGAGGATGAGCATTCAGAGAGGCAGTCCCATGAGACCGAGAGGAGCAGGTTTCTGTACGCACGGCACCTGAACGCACCGTGATGACGTCCAGAGAGAAGAAGAGAGCAGACGCCAGCCAGTGAGATGACGTCATCACAGCAGAGTGAAATATTAAAAAAACAAACTGAACTAAATAATAGTACTTCAGGTTCAGGGAGCTGCAGCTATGATGGGAGATGTCAGGTGTGTGTCTGTGTGAGTGTGTGTCTGTGTGAGTGTGTGTCTGTGTGAGTGTGTGTTTTGATCTGATTGCATTTGTGCCTGTGTGTAGGGTGGGTCTGATTTCACAGATAGCGACAGGGTGTATGTCTGGTATGATGAATGGTGTGTGTGTGTGTGTGTGTGTGTGTGTGTGTGTGTGTGTGTGTGTGTGTGAGCGTGCGTGTGCAGATTTATGGTCATGTGTGTGTGCATGTGTGTGTTCCCTGCTGAGAATAATGTGTGCATCACTAAACACAGCTCTGGGCCAGGAACACAGGAAGTGGAGCAGCCCTTTGTAATATAAGGATGGGGGTGGGGGAGTGTGTGTGTGTGTGTGTGTGTGTGTGTGTGTGTGTGTGTGTGTGTGTGTGTGTGTGTGTGTGTGTGTGTGTGTGTGTGTGGTGGGGGCTCCAAACCAAACACTCATCAGCCACAAAGGAGACAGTGAGTGGAAATGTGAACGTGATCAGTTGTTAAAATGATCTTTCTGTTACACACTGTCGAGTATTCGTTCTCTCTGTTCACGACACTGAGTTGATCTATTCATGTTTTATTTATAATCAAGTTTTAGATTCAACTAAAAGTATTAAAAGTATTTAAAGTATTTAAAGTATTAACCCTCAGTCACATTTCTTGCCTCCTCTGACTCAGTTTTCCTGAAACCTTTGTAAAGACACAGATGAAAGCATGTAAATATACTGACACTGCACTGACCTACAGACACACACTTCACTGAACACACTGACGTCCACAGACATGCAGACACGGGGACAGCTGCAGGTGAGACAGCAGGAGAGGTGGAGGCGGCGGGGGGGGAGGGGCACACAGAGAGTCATGTGGTCTGTACCGTTACGGGATTGGCTGGCACTGGGAGCGGCGGGAAGCTCATTGGGCTGAGCAGAGCCAATGGCAGGGCAGGGCGGGGTCTTAGGGTTACCTGGGCAGCAGGTGAAGCAGAGCGGAGAAAGCAAAAGCGTTACACACACTCACACACTCACACACACTCACACACACACACACACACACTCCAACACACAATGCTCCTCCATCTCACACACACGGAAACAAGCAATGAGCAAAACCACGGGATCGAAGATGTGACGAGAACAAGCAACAACCAATTGAACCATGAATGTTTGAATCTCGATGTTTGAATCTCGATGTTTGAATCTC